CTGCAAGACTAGTATCTCCGAAAATAAATCATCTCCACTAATGTTCGAACGTCCGTTATGTTATTGTTTCTTAAGATTCATACAAAAACCCAAAAGTGTCGTCATATTGTTTGAATTGTTCAAATCGAGTCCTCATAGAAGATGGAGCTTGATCTATTACAAAAACAAAGTATTCAACTCTAAAAGATTCTTCAGCTAATTGCTTTGTTTCATTACTTCCGCTTTCATCAAAATGTTTTTTTCTTCGAGTTATACGTTTTTCTTGAAATACAGTTTTAATTCCCATTTCGTTTGCCTTCTTTGTCGCTTCATCTATGGCAATAACAAATAATGCTTTGCATTCAAAAAATAAAGACCATGTCTCTTAGGGGTGCTTATGATTAAATCATTGCCCCTAAGAATTTCAATATGTCCTTGACCCAATTGTATGTTAAACTCCATGTCATCCAACATGTCTAGAGATGCCATGTTTCTCTCTAACTCAGGCACATATCTGGTTTCTTTTAAGAAGAGTACATTTCCATTTTCAAGAAGCAATTTAATGGTTCCTATTCCTTTTACTTTACAAGTCATATTGTTTCCCCATTATTACCTGCCCCCCAGAGGTGGTTTCAAAATCAAGAAAACAGTTTTTATTGGGACACATATGAAAGGAACAACCAGAGTCCGGAATCCACTCTTCACTCAGCTTCTTCTCATTATTAACAAGGACTAAATCATCTTCAGAATTGTTATTATTACAAACCAAGGCAGCTTTCCCATCACTGAAGCCTTTATATTTTGCTTCATTATTTTTCTTGTAACAATTTTTAATAAAATGACCCATCTTACCACAATGATAGCATTTTTTACCTTTTGCCTTATTCTTGAATTTATTCTTGTCATTCCATTTAGTCATGTTCTCATTTAAAGACTTAGAATGAAAATTAAGTTTACTAAACCCTTTACCTTTTGCAAGCAGGTTATCTCCATTATGACTCCTAATCTCAAACTTAATTTCAAGAGCCTTATTTCTTAAAGCATCATCAATAGTAATCTCAGCCCTACCATATTCAAGAGCAACCTTAATATCTCTATATTGGTCACTAATGGAGTTTAACAGGACTACAGCTAACTGATCTTTTGAAAGCTTTTCATCACAGTTGGCTAAGTCAATGGTCAGTTTGGTAAATCTATTCAAGTTATCATCCAAATCAACAGAAGGGTCCATTTTAAAATAAACGAATTGTTGCAGTAGAAAACATTTGTTAAGGATAGTCTTAGTCACATATTTGGCTTGCAGTTTAGCCCATAGTTCAGAAGCAGTCTATGTTTCATCAATTTCTCTCACAACATTATCTGATAAGTACAAGAAAATAGTACTCCATGCAACCTCTTCAAGTTTAGTTTTCTTAGTAGGAAGTAAGTTTGCATGCCAACTATTATCAAGAGCCCTAGCAACTCTCATTTGCATTAAGATTGCTTTCATCTTTTGACACCAAATATTAAAATCACATTTACCATCAAATTGTGAAACTTCAAACTTAGCAGAAGCCATGTTTGAAAACAAGTATGATGCACAAGTAGGGATTCAAGATAATAGTATTCACAATTAGAGACTCACAACAATTACAGCAGCTCAAGATATCACAGTAACACACTTAGTAATACAAGATTTCCAAGTTTCAATCACAATCAATGAAACATGCAGAGCAATATTCAATTAAAGAACACAACAAAGATCAAAATTTCTATGTTTCATAGACTTCTCCAGCAGGATCCTCCAAATATACCCCCGTACTGGATTTATCTCAGATTTCCAAGACCTCGTAGGAGTCTTTGGATAAAGATTAGTCTCCAGGGGGTTCAGGTGTATGGTAGATCAAGGGAAAAATCGAGAAACCCTAGTTATAAAACTTTTACAGAAAAATATAAAAGATCTCACCAGCGAGTTTACAAAAACTCGAAATCTTTAAGGCATGCTTAACAACAGTTCCAACAATTTCAAGATCTGCAATAGATCGAATACTTTCTGCGAAGATCCAGGTATCAGCTCTCAGTCCAGAGCTCTGATACCGCTGAAAAGGCCCAAGTCACACGATATTAAAATAAGATCCCACAAATTTGTACCAAAAACAGAAAGTAAACTTGCAGAAATTAAAGATTGAACACTAAGAATTATTTCAACCTAAGCCCCGGAGGTTCGATGATCGGATCTGACGCCTACATCTCCTGTTGAGCATCCAAATAATGGATATTCTCTCGGTTGCACTAGTCGCCAAAAATATGGCATCCAACAGTTACAATCAGTTCAAGAATACAAAATCAAAGCCACAGAGACTTATCTTTACACAAGGCTTTGGATCGAACACACCCTTAAGGCACAAATCAGGACCGATCACAAAGTCCTGTCAACCACCTCACACACCACTTGAACCACAAAGATTCGGTGTACAAATCACTCAGAAAATCATTACTTCTCAACAATTAGAATTAGATCTAAGAGATTCTAGCATTTAAACAATCTAAACACTCAACAATGTGAAATCCTAAGAATGAGGTGTTCTCTCTAAAGGAAGAAGAACTGACGCGAAAACCCAAAAGCCAGAAGAAACTAAATTAAGCCAAACAATCATCTCTGAGAGATAAAATCAGAAGCATCTAGAATTCCATCCATCGGTGAAAGAAGTGCCACGTGTCAACAATCCAGCCTTAGCTTCCAATTAAGAGAAGTATTAATTCCAGAAACACGTTTTTATCATAATTGTTGGAAGCACACTTTAAATAAGTCACATGTTTTAGTCTTAACACTTGCCAGTGTGGCTGTCCAATTCAATGCCTTGCATCTAGACTAGCAAGTGTTGCTATCCAATGCGTAAGCATTGCGGGTCTGTAAAAAAACATGATCAAGCCCTCCAAACCCATCAACATATTTAATGCCTACAAATCTCAGGATCTCAAGGATTTTCTCCCACGCCACCACTAGAACTGCACCTCAAATTCCAGCTCCAAACGGATGAACACAAATAGAACCCAACTTTCAACCGAACAATGAACAACCCTATCAGCCACATTCACACGAAAATAATGAAGACATTAGATATGTCATTTAAATAGAACACCAAGTACCAATGGTCATAGAAGGTTTAACACATGAAACAAAATGTCAATAGAGTTGGATCTCTTCATTACATGATACCAAGAATTTACTGGAGGACTCTTTATAAAACCTACTAAAATATAGCTGATGAGTGTGTTTCACTAATGCTTTTAATACCAATTTAACTAATAATTTGTTAGGTCTAGCTGATGAGTGTGTTTCACTTATGCTTTTTGTTGAATTCATCATTACATTCATCATTAGACTAGTTAAAACCATCGATTACAAAATTCATTTGTCTTGATAAAACAAAGGCTAAAACAATTATAATACTCGGTAAAAATTAAATTTTAATCCCCGTGGGTTCGACACTGTTTACTTGTGGCATACTTACGTTATAGAAAATGCTTAACAATAGCCTAATCTATTAGATACAGAACCTTAATTCTCAGAGACATCATCACTCAAATGCCCAGAATTTTCTCCTCCTAGGTGAAGTCATTCTTAATAATGAAAGTCTCGCGGATTTCCTCCGCAAGACTTCACGTCGGCCACAGCCTGACGTGTGAGATCGAGCAGACTTTTTATGTTCAGATAGTTTGCTGCCTTAAAACATGATGTCACTACTTAGTAGTAGCCAGGGAGGAGAACCGTAAACCTTACAGAAAACCATTAAAAACACAACGCCAACAGAGAAATATGAATAGATTATCTTGTATTTAGACAGAGATGAAAAAGTGTGAGCAAAATTACAATAACACAAGGAGATCATCTTTTCAACCCTTCCAAAAGAGAGTCAATGTCTTTCCAGCTTTGATTCAAGAAGATTGCTGCTCTCTTTAAACCACCCAATCCACAGTTCGATGAAATTCATAACATAACTGAAATAGTTTGGTACCAGTAACTACCCAAAGGCTTTATAAGCCTTCAAATAGAAATTCGTAATAATTAATGAAGCCCAGCCTTGCACCAAAATTTCATCAATACTCCAAACTCACCTCGTGCAACAAACAAGACGGCCATTTTGATCTACAACCCCAACAATCCCAAAAAAGAAACAAATACAACCTTGAAAGGAGGAAAAAACAGGAAATTTAACCACTTGTGGTTCATATCCACACATAAAACCTTGAACTACTGCTTTATAGAGACAGACAAAACGGCAGAACATAGCCTCATATGATAGCATGTCGCCATGAAACTCATCAATATCCCTCAGCAAACAGGTAAGCTTTACTAGTTGATAACATACTTTTAAATAAATATAACAATCCATTGATGACTGAAGCAGTATTTTCGACATACATAATGCATTGGACAACCTTAGGGGATGTTTGACACCCATTTCTGTGAAAGAATGTGTTTTTGAATAGTGATTGATGGAAGAATGTGTGGTTAAAAAGTAAGGAGAATTTTTAGGTTTATGTGTAATATTATTTTATTGATAGAATGTGTGGTTGAAATGAAGAAAGAGAAAAAAAATGAGAATGAGAATGAGAATATGAAATTTTTGGAATAGTGATTGATGGGAGGTTATGTGGTGGAAAAGTTATGAAAAGTTTTAGATTTGTGTGTAATATTATTTTATTGAAAGAATATGTGGTTGAAATGAAGAAAGAGAAAAAAATGAGAATGAGAATTAGAAAAAAATGGGTGTCAAACGAGGGCTTAATATAACTTCTAAAGCTTCATCAACAAGAATGTAAAAAATGGAAAATTCACTGAAATCTCTAAATCGAAAACATTTTAAGACTTCTTCAGAACCACAAAATTTCCTCGTCGTATTCTTCACTGAATGTGTACAGAAACAGACTGCAGATAAGTTGCTGCTTGTGCTTCTCAGTTTTACATATAATTCTTGTGCACATTTCTAGCCAGAAAAAATTCGCTCGAACCAGGCAAACAAAGAGCACGTCCATTCTCAAGCAGCTTTGAAACTTTTTGACAAGAGTTCATAGCATCTTATTTGCTGCAACCAAACATAAAAATTGACACGGTTTGAGTTACGGTTGTTTTCCTTGAGGTATATTAAAAGAACAAAATCAAGTCTGATAAAAATTCATACTGCATCTGAAACAGATGGAGATATTTTCTCCAATGCCTGCTTGAAGTGTATTTCTTTGATGGTCCCTGGCGCAGCATCTGAAATTTCGTTCCTCGAATTCCACTTGTCCCTAAGAGCTGCCATAGCAGCTCCATTCATCTGGCATAAATAAAAATAAAAAAGCTTGAGATTGATCATTATAAAGTATGAGCATTTACAGCAAGAAAAAAAAGAGAGCATGAAACTCCCATTTTCTCACTCGAACCACATTCATTCAATTCCTAGTTTCTTTAGGATGACTTATTTATGTTCACAAAATGTCTTGAACTGAATCAAGGCATTTTTTTGCCATCTGTCATGTATGCTTTAATTAAGACCAATTACTCACATCAAACAATTATGAAACATCCAATCTACTTGCAAATGTTTATTTTAATTAAGTAAGACCAGTTTTGCTAAAATATCGTTACCAACTGAAAAAAAAATAAAGTACAGACAAACCAAAGCAGATAGGTCGGCTCCACTGAAATTTTTACAAGCACTGTCACTTCCAATTGCCACCAAGTCCACATTGGCATCTATTCGCTTTTTCCTACCAAGAGCTGTCAAGATTAAACCACGCTCATATGGACTGGGAAGAGGGACATACAGAGGTATCCCAAATCTTCCGGGTCGAAGGAGGGCATTGTCCATGACTTCAGGCCTAGTATTGTATTATCAAGATCAAATATATTAAGTTACACAAGAGAAGACTTTTAATCAGAATATCATTATTCTTCTCTTGCCCACAGTAAACTTGACACAAATAACAATCTGTACCTATTCGTGGCACCAATTACATACACACCCTTACGCTGATCTGCACCATCTAACTCTATCAGTAGCTGCAGTGATATGGCTTTACTTTCAGTTGTATATCTAGTCATTCACACAATAGGGGAAGATATAATTAGGCAAGAAAGCATTTAACAAAACATTTTTACAAACCTGACCCAAGAGCTGCTCAACAACCCCACCCCCTTCTTGACCGCGTCTGGTTGTCAAAGTATCCACCTGATAAGATGTTGAACCACATCAACACAATTCCATTTTCCAGCAACTTCACCGCAGAATGTTATTAATCACCCTTTGTGGTTAATTACACTCAGTATACCTAAAATTCTGTATAGGCCGATTAGTTATGAGTTATCAAGGAACTTTTAAAACCCCTAAATGGAAGGAGATCACAGTAGCTTCTAGCAAGCTGTGTGAAGGTGTATGTACAATTCCGAACCATCCTTGACATATTTTTTATTTTGTGATTGCTTCTAACACTCTCATTGAAGTCATAAATAAAACTATGCGTTTAAACGCCAAAGTAGATCCTCTGTTTATTGCATTGTCAGGGTTTGTGTCAAATTTCGATTTGTCAACATCCATAATGAGATTGTGACGGAATAATCTTTATCACAGAGTTCGGAATAATCTTTAACACGGAGTCACAACCACGGAGTCTTATTACCGCACACTAATTTACAAAAGTATAACTTGGGTCTAACCAAATTATAGGAGACGAAAGTTGTTAAGAAATAAGAGGAAATAGAAAAGATGCACCTCATCAAAAAAAAGAATGCACGGAGCACATGTCCTTGCGCGCCTGAATAATGTCCGAACAGCCAACTCACTTTCACCAACATATTTACTGAGAAGTTCAGGGCCCTTGATAGACAATAGAAAATGTAAGAGACCAATGGAACTAATTATTAGCAAACAAAAACTTGTGAAATAGCAACAATTTTCAACCTTAATATAAATGAAATTTGCTCCTGCTTCACTAGCAACTGCTTTGGCAATTAATGTTTTTCCACATCCTGGAGGACCATAAAGCAAAATTCCCGGCTCTAAATCTAACCCATATTCCTGAAAATCAACCACTTAATCTCAAAACCTTGAAAATTGGGATATCCAACTAGCATAGGAGAAGTGGATGAGTTCTCCATAACAATGTCTACATAGAAAAGAATTATATGGAAAGAAAGAGATGATAACCGCTAAAAATGGAAGTGAATGAGTTAAAAGTGTCAATAATCTAATACATATGCAAAGGGAAGCCAATCAACTGTGATGGATTTCCAAGCATAAATCCATTCTTTCTTAGCAATGAATCAATTGAGAAATTTAGGGACGGGGGCGGGGGCGGGGGGTTTAGTAAGCATTGCCCACGAATAAAGAAATTTTTTTATTAGATTTAAATACACACCTTTGAAGTTTGATTAGAACATTTAAATATGTAATGCAAGCTGTGACAAGGTGGCCACATGAAAAACAACCATGTAAGATCCTACTCATATCAAATCCAAAAAAATGTTGCATCTTATTAATGCCTTGTTTGGGAAAAATTATAATGTGATTATAAGAAAGATGAGTAATAGGTCCTACGAAATATGTGGATAATAAGTAGATAGTAATAATTGTAATGTGATTAAAATTAATGTCGACTCTGACTTTAAATTTTAAGCAAATTATAATGAAACTCGAACAAGTGCTAAATTTCTTAGTCCTTATCTCAAAATCCATTTGAATAACCCAATGAGATTTTAAATATAAAAATCACCTCACAATCTTCAGCATGCTTAATCCGACAAATTATTTCCTGTTCAAACACATCTCTAAGTAATTGAAGACCACCAACATCCTCCCACTTCACGTTTGGAATTGTTGAAAATCCTTCTCTTGTTAAGGAGGGTTGAACCATTTTAGCAGCTTCCTACAGAATTGCTGTGATTAGCAACTAATTGAAATGATGAAAATGTGGTAGGGGGAGATCACATACAACACAGTAAATCAAAAACCGAAAGGAAAGGAGGAGGGAATCGAAAACAATAAGAGAAAGGAAAAACGGACTGAACAACAATGGCTCTAAAGTACAGACGAATGCTTTCCCACGACAAGTATATAGAATTAACATTACAAGGAAGCATAAAGTAGATTTTGTTAGAAGGTGCCAAGCTCAAACCTATTTACACTGGATACATACTAACATGACTGAAAAGCTCCAATAAGACATCAAATCTATATTCTAGAAATAGGGAAACTACAAATTCCCTAAGCAAAGATGAGCCAAAATATAGCTCACGAAAAAATGTATCAGGCACAACTGGTGCAAGACCAATGACCAAATCAACATCAATGTCCGTCCGTCCGTCCATGATCAGGAAAAAAAGAGACTTATACTAGGAATTTGAACCACATAACCAAAAAATAATACACATTAATTAAAGAACTTGGCAGTGTAAAATGATAACTAAACAAACAAAATCCAGTTTGATAACAACGGAGAGGAACAGAGGTAGAAATTGCAATGTTACCTCAAAATCAGCCATTGTGATGCCGGACTTTTTTATTTCTTCAGGTGGCCAACATTGTCTCCACCATTCTTCAACATGCTCACCTTCTACAGATTTTGTAGAAACCTCGGACCTTAGTCGGCATGTTGATCGATTCATTGCTAGATAGCCAGCCTTGTTTGCAAGTGCTTCCAAGTCAGCTCCAACAAACCCTGCAGTGAACTTAGCTATCTTCAGAAGATCAAAAGCACCTTCTATTTTACTATTTTGAACAATGACGGACAAAATATCAACCCTTGCACTTTCGTTCGGGACACCTATGTAAATCTCACGGTCAAACCGTCCAGGCCTCCTCAATGCAGGATCAATAGAATCAGGCCTATTTGTTGCTCCAATAACGAGTACATACGAAGGCATGCAATCATAATTCTCTGCAGTCCCACTTCCATTTATGGATTTGACAATTCTCGATGACTCATCCATGCATGACATTAGTTGTAGGACAATGCGTTGCTCCATTACCCTATTAGAGATATCCCGTTTAGTCGCAATCGCATCAATCTCATCTATGAACACAATGGATGGGGCTGTTTTGTGGGCTTGAGAAAATAGCTCTCTGATATTTTCTTCTGATGTGCCTGAAACATTCAACAAATAAAGCATCTCAGCAAGCTTCAAAATTGTGTAAATAAGGACAGGAACAAAACCAAGTCCATAATCGAACCCCCACATGAAATAGAAAGCGGGAAATTAGTCCAATTGTTATACTAGAAACAAATAGGAGGACAAGTAAAGAAAAAAAAAATGACATAGTTCTATGTCTACCTCGTCATCACTACAAGTGAAGTCACTAATTTATGATGAATAATTTCTCATGAATATAACAAAGAGAAACAAGAAACCATTATACCTGAAATTCCAGACACCAATTCAGTAGCACAGATCTTATAAAAGGGAACACCGGCCTCATTGGCAATGGCATTGGCTAGCTTGGTTTTCCCACACCCAGGTGGGCCATGCAACAAGATCCCTGACATCGGTTTCACGCCAAAGTTTCGTGGCATACAGGGATTGTAAAATGGCACAATCAAATCGTATTTTAACTCTTCCAACACTTTACTCATCCCCCCCAAATCCTTGAACAATGGCCCATCAATGTTATTGTTCTTGATGTCATTATTTTTGTTATTGATCATAGTTAAACAATTACCTCCTCTAATTTTCACCAACTCAGATTCATTTCCAGTTTTACGTCTCTTGTTCATCAAATTTACCTCCTTGTCCATGTTAGTAACAACGTCCCTATTATCTCCCTCTTTTCCCATTTTCTTTGATTTTAGCATGGACTTCATCAAATCAAACTTGGGCTCAAAGTCCTCATAAACAGTATCTTTAGTCAAAATATCTTCCTCCGATAAGTTATCTGATTCAGATTCTGAGGTACCGTTGCTAGCAGTTGATGCCGTTGAAGATGTCCAGCCAGCACCATTTTCAAAATCATCATTAATTCTCGCGGTCCTCTTTCTAATATGCTTCTCTTCTATGAGTCGCAATTTCTCTTCAGCATCCTCAACTTTCTTTGCCCTCTTTCTTCTCGGAGGGGTCCTTTCATCATCATATTCTTCATTAGTATGATCACCCATTTGTTCAAGTATTTGTTGAACCCCTATTGTGAAAGGCTCGAGCTTGTGGCGGGTATATTCTGGGTAGGTGGAGCGAAGATAGACTGCTAATTGATTGACAGGAGCACATTTATTTTTGCTTAACTCAATGCGCCGACGAAGGAGCCGATGGAATCCTTGGCCTCCTGGTGGCCATGGTTTTTTTCCTACAAAATTGACCTTTCGTTTCTGTTTTGGAGTCATTGCTTAGCTGAAATAAGAAAATAATGGGTAAGTGCATATATATTGGTATAGGATTTACAAGATGCAGAAAATAACTTCGATTCAAATTGAAAAAATCTCCACCGGCGGGGTCAGTAAATTTTTTTCCCTTTTTTTGATTAGTTTCAAACTGCCAAATGAATCCTTATTTGCCTGAAATAAAATCAGAACAAGTTCGATATTTTTTTTTCCTGTTGATAATAATTTGTCATAAACAAAAGTTCAGATTCTGAAGTTCTAAACAAAAGTTCTGGTACTGTTGACGATACACCTATTATTAATGGTGAAAAAGTCTCTGGTATTAATTTTGAGCCTTTGCAAGATGAAGCTGAAGACAAGCTCACAAAACAGAAAGATGGTAATTCGTCTGTGTTTGTATCAGATGCTTCAAGTAGTCCAACTGAGAGTCTCGAAGGGAATTGGGGATCAGGTAAACTCTATTGTTACTGTATATAAATATAATAGAACAATCAAATGGAAATTCAAAATAATAATGGCCCGACAAAACCAGAAACTTTCGTAAGAAATTAAAGAAGGAATTAAACCGAGAGACAAGATTAATACAAATCAAACAAAATAAGAGAATCCATCAAGATATGAATTTCAAGAACCACAATTCAACATTTCAGCCACAAAACTACAAGATACACTGCCTCAAATGACAACAGAGAGAAACCATTGACTAATCTTCTTTGTTGCCCTTCTAATCCCCCTCCACCAAAAAAAATAAGAAATAAACAGAAATAAAGAAATAAATAGCCGTTTCATTAGTTAAATTGTATTACATAAATTTACTATAAGAAATAAGAATTTCACTTTTAAGTTTAAAAAAAAAAACTTATGACTAAAGGAAAAGAAAACTGAATTGAAGCAACAAATTCAAATAAATGTATACTTTCCAGGAAAAAGAAAATTAGAAAACACAATACAGACAAAAAAGAGATGATGAGAGAAGGAAAAAAAAGGGGAAATGGTAACTGTATAGTTTCAAGGTAAAGCTCTGGGCTGCAAGAATATTACAGAAAGCTGAAAAGGGAAAAATGGACTACCCCTCTGCCTCTGTCTTTGGGTACGTTCTAGTGTAAATTCAAATTTCCAACAAATTAATACACTGATTTTGCAGCTCTCCATTCAAACCCCACTTCATTAAGCAAAATTCATTACACAACATTTGTCAAACATCTCTAAAAAAACAACAGGTACGCGAAAAGGGGAGCGTCTTGGATCTGAAAAGTAAAGAGCCAAAAAAAAGCAATTCTTCTTTTAACCAGTTCACCTAACAGAAGAATTGATTAAACCAAAAGCATAAGAAACACAAAACCAACCACAACCTATTTCAATTCACATCCCAAAACCCTCATATTCAATCCAAAAAGGCTCAATCAATTACCTTAATTCCGGTGAATGGTTGGCGAAGTTCTCCTTCAGGTACGATAAGCAGGTTCGCGAAACACCTCCTCCTATACCCGGATTCTTCAATAGCTTCGAAATCTCCCCCAGTGGCCGCAGGCAGGAAGTTTTGTTTTGAAGCAGAGAAGATTTCACGTTTCAGTGGGTTTGAAGGAGGGATAGGGGTTTTAATATTGGGTTGGGTGAGTTGGGTGTGGCTTTCGGTTTATGGGCCAGTCCTAATTACAACCAGTCAAAATTACATAGGGAAATTAGGTTATGTACGGCCCAAAACCAAGAGAGTTGATTAATACCCTAAATTATTAATTTATTAATTGACATCCGAATTAATCGTAATATCTACGTGAAAGCTATTGAAAAGAAATCATTTACAACCCCAACAAGCCCTAACTCAAAATATGCTCCAATCCACTCATCTCTGAAAAAAGTTTTATGTTCATCATCACTATTAAATATTTTGTGATCCATGCTACTCCATTATTTAACAGTGCCAACACCATCACAGATCTCGGATGCATGGGTGAAGAAAGAGATTGCAGTAAACTAAACCAACGGCGATAAAGAGGAAGAGTAATTTGGTTGAAGGATCTTCAATAAAGAAAAACTTTCTTCATATGCTTACAAACATTGAATTAAGCTCTATTTCCTTGTAAATGTGTGTGGATCGCTTTAATTTCAATTTCACTTTCGAATGCTTCATTTTTTTTTGGTGTTCTTCATATGCTTACAAACATGGAATTATGCTTACAAATTGGTGTTCTTGATTTTTTTTGTAGTTTTATTTTATTGTTTTGTCACTTTTTTTTAGTGTTCAAATATGTCCACCATGTGTTTGATGAAATGTCCAAATGGTCGAAGTTTTTTTTATTGTTGGCAAAGTTTGACAAGCTTTTTTGTCTTCTATCTTCCCAAAGCTAAATGTGGTAAAATTGTGGTCTTTGTCACTTTTTTAAGTTTTTATAACTTTTTTGAGTTTGTGTCACTTTTTAATATGTGTGTCACTTTTTTTGAGTTTGTGTCTGTCTTTTTAAAAAAAGTGACACGGAGTTTTTTAGTGTTCAAATATGTCCACCATGTGTTTGATGAAATATCCAAATGGTGGAAGCTTTTTTATTGACAAACTTTGACGAGTTTTTTTTGTCTTCTATCTTCCCAAATCTAAATGTGGTAAAATTGTGGTATTTGTCACTTTTTTGAGTTTGTGTCACTTTTTAGTATGTGTGTGTCACTTTTTTTGAGTTTTGTCACTTTTTTTTAGTTTGTGTCAATTTTTTGAATTTGTATCACTTTTTGAATGTGTGTGTCACTTTTTTTGAATTTGTGTCAATTTTTTTTAAAAAGGCAAAAAAGTGACAATTTTTATAAAAAAAAGTGACATTGTGTTACTTTTTTATTTTATACAATATTTTTTATTTCCTAAAAACATTTCATATGGTTTTTCAAAACATTCCTAACTTTAAGGGTATTTTTGTAAGTACCCCATATTACATCGTACAAAAATTTTAAAGTTTCAATTTCAAATAACAGATTTGCAAGTTTTTATTTAAAAAATCAAATAACAATTAAAATATTAATAATTATATTATAAAATTAAATATACATATTCATTCTGCCCATTAATACACATCAAAACCCTAATTATTTCATCTTCTCTATTTTCTCTCTTCTCTCTCTATAATCGTCTCTCTACCTCACAATATCCCCCCCTCTCTCTCTCTCTCTCTCTCTCACTCTCTCTCTCTCACTCTCTCTCTCGATCACACACTCTCTCTACTCTGTCTCTCCTTCTCTCTACCTCTCCTTCGCTACCAGATGAGAGACGCCGGAGCACTGCTCGAGATCGCGCACCACAGTCAGCAGTTATCTACCCACCTTTGCTTGCACCCCAGCGATCCGCGAAGCACCCATGGTGGTGGCAGTGGTTCAATGGTGTTGGTGTCACTGGTGTGTTGTTGCGTTGTGGGACTTTGTTGGTGGTAGCAGCAGTGCGTCTATATAGGGTGGGCTGTGTTGATGGTGGTGTGGTGCGAGGTGATGGTGGTGGCGTAGATGTTGGGTGCAGTACGTTGTGGTCGACGGTGGTAGTGTAGATGGTGGTCACGGTGGTTGTGGAGTTGACGGTAATGGATTTGAGGAAGTGGTAGTCGTGTTGGCAGCGATGTTGGTGAGATTGTGGGGTCGTGGGGTGTTGGATGTGGTTTTGTTGGTGCCGGCCGTGGTAGAATGGCGTGATGATGTGGTGGTATTTTTCTGCGATGTCTTGATTAATTTGAGGTGGTTGTGTTGTTGTCAGGAGGTAGTGGTAGTTCTGGCAGAGAAGGTGGCAGTGGTGCTACTTGAGAGAGTGGTGCGGTGGTGGTCACAAGTGTCGGTTGTGGTCATAAATTATTTGGTTAATTGTAATCATTAAATTGGTTAATATATGACCAATAAACAATACGTGACTAATAAAAAAAAATTGTGGCCAAGAAATAATGTGTGACCTAATTTTTTTTTTAAAAAAATTTGTGACCGATAATTTAACAATTTGTGACTGCGACTACCTACTAAATTGTGACTTATAATATTTGTGATCGATAAATAAATTGTGACGTAAAGTTTTTTATTTGTGATCGATAAACAAATTGTGACCTATAAAATATATGAATTGTGACTGTAAAATAATTTGTAATATAAAATTTATGTTTGTGATTGAAATATAATATGTGACTAATTAAATTGATAGATTTGTGATCAATAAATGAATTTTGAAGCATAAATTTTTTATTTGTGATTGATGAACAATTTTTGACCTATAAAATTTTTGAATTATGACCGTAAAATAATTTGTGACATATAAAAACTGTGATTCATGATCAATTGATAATTTGTGACCAATTATATGGAATTTGAAACCAAATTATATGGAATTGTGACTGCCCATAAAATAATTTGTGACGTGTAAAATTTGTGATTTGTGACCAATTATATAGAATTTGTGACCAAATTATATGGAATTGTGACCTTAATATATTTAATTAATAAAATATATGTTTAATTAATTTATTTATAAATAAAATTTAAAAAACTCTTAAGATTTGAAGTTTAAACATAATCTCTTAAATTTGAAAATTAGTAAAACTCAACCTCTTATTTATGAAATCTTCCCATACAACCATGTGACTTTGATTGTCTCACAATACCTAACTCATTTCTTGATTAGCTCGATAGTCTTGAAATGTTCTTTGCATATCACAGTTTGAGTGACTTATGTAAAACTTGTCATGCTAACAAGTCATTAATCGGTTCTACTAAAACTTATTGAAATGTTCTTTGCATATCACAATTTGAGTGACTTATGTAAAACTTGTCATGCTAATATGTCATTAATCGATTCTACTAAAACTTATTGGAGGTCATATTTACATCTTCATCTAGGTCAACGCACTATCACCTTGTGGAATGGGATGAAACAAATCAGAAGTATGCCCCTGTCTATTATCAAAATCATTTGTTATATCAATTTTTTTTACACTGTAGGCAAGGTATTTTCACATCTATTGAGTATTTAGCCCATTTCGAAGAGTTATATTGAACAATTGTTATATTCATGAGGATCCCCACGTCACAACTTCTAGGTTTATCGATGGTTTGAATACTGAAATTTTGCCTAATGATATTCCTAGACGCTTACCATCAGCCAACCTATGGAGCTTATCCTTCCATCTTCGCCAAGCGTGTCATAAGCTAGGTCTTCCACTCCAATCCTAATAGCCACCATCTGAGTCTAGTTGTGCTACCCTTGAAGAAGAAATCGAGGTTGCATTATTGAGTCAATTGAATATTCTGATATCGAGGATGATGAATTATCTATATTGTTGCCACCGAAGTCAGACAGTCCACCTATCATCGATTACGTACCAAAATAGAGTAACATTTTTAAAAAGTAGAATTTTTTACACTCTTTTAATCTTACACAAAATAGAGTAACATTTTTAAAAAGTAGAATTTTTTACACTCCTAATGCTCTTAAAGAAACCAAATCACCATTTGCAAAATTTGATTGTAGTTAAAAGTTTTTTTTTTACTAGCAGAACTTATTCAACACATTTCTATGCTTCACTAAACAAGTTGCACAGGAGAAACTTATTACCATTTCCCCAAATTAGGAAACATGTAAGCTTTGCTAGTTGATAACATGCTCTTAAAAGAATTGAACAATCCATTGATGACTGAAGCAGTACTTTCGACTTATTATGACTTCTAAAGCTTCATCGACAAGAATGTAAACATGGAAAATTACACTGAATTTCCTAAATCAAAAACTTTTAAGACTTCTTTTCTTCGGAACCAAAAAATTTCTCGCCTGATTCTTTACTAGAAGCATACAGAACTGAAATCATAGGAGTGTTTTTTTCACCTGATCAGGTCCATTTTGAAGCCGATGTGAAGCTTTTTGACAACTGTTCATATTTTTGAATTTTCTGCAGCCAAACATAAAAATTGACACAGTTACATTTATTTTTCTTGAGGTAAATTATAATAACAAAATCAAGCCTGATAAAAATTCATACTGCATCTGAAACAGATCGAGATATTTTCTCCAGTGCCTGATTAAAGTGTATTTCTTTGATGGCCAATGGTGCAGCATATACAACTTCGTTCCCCGAATTTTTGTCCATAATAGCTGCCAGCACAGCTTTATCCATCTGGCATAAATAAAAATATCAAATCTTGAGACTGATCGTCATAAGGGATGAAGAAATAGAATGCAACTCCCATTTTCCCACTCGAACCACATTCTCAAATTTCTTTCGGGTGGCTTATTTATGCTTCACAAAATGTTTTGAACTGTAACAAAGCATTTTTTTCGCCATCTTTGTCAGGTATGCTTTAACTAACACTAATTACTCACATCAAACAATTATGAACCATCCAATCTACTTGCAACTGTTTATTTTAATTAATCAAGACCAGTTTTGCTAAAATATATTTACCAACTGAAGAAAACAATAAAGTAGAGACAAACCAAAGCAAATAGGTTGGCTCCACTGAAATTTTACAAGCACTGTCACTTTCAATTGCCATCAAGTCCACATTGACATCTATTCGCTTCTTCCTACCAAGAGCAGTCAAGATTAAACCATGCTCATCTGGATTGGGAAGAGGGACATATAGAGGTTTTCCAAATCTTTGTGGTTGAAGGAGGGCATTGTCCATGACTTCAGGCCTAGTATTGTATTATTAAGATCAAATATGTTAAGTTACACGAGAGAAGACTTTTAATCAGAAAATCATTATTCTTCTCTCGAACCACAGTAAACCTGACAAAAATAACAATCTGTACCTATTCGTGGTACCAATTACGTAAACACCCCTTCGCTGATCGCTGATCTGCACCATCTAGCTCTATTTGTAGCCGTAGTGATATGGCTTTGCTTTCAGTTCTATATCTAGTCATATACACAATAAGGAAGGATATAACTAGGCAAGAAAGAATTTAATAAGACATTTTTACAAACCTTATCCAAGAGCTACTCAACAACCCCGCCCCCTTCTTGACCGCATCTGGTGGTCAAATATTCCAGCTGATAAGACATTGAACAACATTAGCAAAATCCCACCTTCCACCAAGTTCACTGCTGAATGTTAGTAATCACCATATTTTGTTAATTATTCTTAGTATACCTAAATTCTGTGAAGGCAGATTAGTTATGTGTTATAAAGGAACTTTTAAAAACCCTAAACGAAATGAGAGGACAGTAGCTTCTAGCAAGCTGTGTACCATCCTTGACAGACTTTGTTGTTTTTGATTGCTCCTAACACTATCAGTGAAGACATAAATAAAAAATGAGTTTCAAGGCCAAATTAGACCCTTCGTTTATTGCATTGTTAGGGTTTTCATCAAATTTTGATTTGTCAACATCCATAATGAGTTTGATGATTGAATATTCTTTAACACGAAGTCTCAACCAAGGTGTCTTATTAATGCACACTAATTTACAAAAGCAAAACCTGGGTCTCACCAAGTATAAAACCAAAATATATTTGACAAAAAGTTATTAAGAAATAACAGCAAGAAATAGAAAAAGCACCTCATCAAAAAAAAAAAAAAAAAGAATGCACGGAGAACATGTAAGCTATAAACATGCAGAACATTTTCATTTTATAAAAGAAGTTTACATGTTGCATTTTATTAAAAGGGTAATGGTAAATTTTAAACTCATCATATCCCCACACTACGATATCTTCGTAAAGCACCACAAAAAAAAAAAAAAAAAAAGAATGCACGGAGAACATGCCCTTGCACAACTGAATATTTTTCGATCAGCCAACTCATTTTCAACATATTTATGGAGAAGTCCAAAGCCCTTGATAGACAACAGAAAATGTAAAAGAGCAATGGAACTAATTTTTAGTGAACAAAAACTTATGAAATAGCTATAGTTTTCTACCTTGATATGAATGAAACTTGCTCCTACTCCGCCGGCAACTGCTTTTGCAATTAACGTTTTTCAGAGCCTGGAGGACCATAAAGCAAAAATCTTCTCTCAAAATCCACCCCACATTCCTGAAAATGAACCACTAATCTCAAAACCTTAAACTTGGGATATCCATCGAGCATAGGAGAAGTGGATTCTCGGAAATAATGTCTACATAGAAAAGAATTATACAGAAAGAAAGAGATGGTAACTGCTCAAAAGTGAAGTGACTGAGTTGAAAGTGCCAATAATTCAATACATGTGCAGAGGGAAGTGAATCAACTGGAAAGGATTTCCAAGCGTATGGCCATTCTTTCTAAGCAAAGATTTTTCTTGAAAAATTTATAGAGTGATGAAAATTTTTAGTAAAGATTGTCCCAGAAAAGAAATTTATTTATTAGATTTTAGTACATACCTTAGAATCTTGATTAGAACATGTAAATATGTAATGCAAGCTATGACAATATATATCAGGTGGCCCCATGAAAAACAACCATGTAAGATCCTATTAATTTCAAATGCAAAAAAGGTCGCATCATATTAATACCTTGTTTGGGAAAAATTATAACGAAGATGAGTAATAGGTCCATGAAATGTGTGAATAATAAGTAGGTAGTAATTGTGAATGTGATTAAAATTAATGTTCGACTCACTTTAAATTATAAGCAGATTATAATGAAACCCAAACAAGCANATGGTAGAGGTAGATAAGATTAGTGGCTGTTCTCTTTGTGTTTGAGTTTTGTGTTTTGAGTATTGAATTCATTTTGTGTTTTGTTTTTTGACTGTCCATTTTGAGATTGTTGAAAATGTGTTCTTTTTGTCATTTTGAAAAATTGTTTTGAAAAACTCAAAACTGAAAAATTTGTCCTCTTTTAAACACATTTTCTTTCTCTCCCTTTCTCTCCCATCCATCTCGCTTCTCTCCCATCTCTCTCTCTCCCATCCGTCTCTCTTCCTCCCGTCTCTCTTCCTCTTCTTGGAAACGAATCCTGCTCCCTTACACTGTGCCAAAATCACACGACCCATTTTCTTGCGTACGTACTGTATGTGGAGGTAAGGGGAAGGGGAAGGGGACGACTAGGAAATGGAAGTGAGGGGAAGGTGGCAGTGGATTCGAAAATTGGAGCTGTTGCTGAATTAATTGTTGCAATTGACATGTAACCCATGGTTCCGTGTGCCTGCAGAAGACTCGATTGGGGCCAGTTTTATGATTCAACATTGTGGGGATGAGGAATTGAAGCAAACAGATCCGGAAAAAATGTTGGTCCGTGTGGCGGGGGTTGTATTTTTGGGACGCCGATTGTGGTCTTTTTGGTGGCATTTTGGCTGTGGCGGTGGGGGTATTTTTAGGATGCCGATTTTGGCTATGGTGGTGGGGGTTTCGGTGGTGCTTTTGGTGGTGGTGGTGCAGTGGTGGTTGGAGATTTGGCGGTGGGGGTATTTCTAGGATGCTGATTTTGGCTATGGTGGTGGGAGTTTCTGGTGGTGCTTTTGGTGGTGGAGGTGCAGTGGTGGTTGGAGATTTCTGGTGTAAATTTTGGCTGAAGAATGAACAGTGGCGAAAATTGTTTCCCGTGTTTTGGGTTTTTGGGTAGGTTTGGCTTGAAAACAGCCAAAACGATATTTTCATCATTTTGGTGTTTTCTGTACAAATCTTTTTTTCTTTTTCAAAAATGCGTTTTCGAAAACAGGAAAGAGAACATGTTTTTACTGTTTTGGAAAACCGAAAACAGAAAACAATTCGAAAACGCCAAAGAGAACAACACCTAAATTGTTTAGGCCTTATCTCAAAACCCATTAGCATAACCTAATGATTAATTACTAAATGAAATATTAAAGGTAAAATTCACCTCATAATCTTGAGGAAACTTAATCCTCCTAACTATGTGACGGTCAAATACATCTCTTAGCAATTGCAGACCACCAACGTCCTCCAACTTCACTTTTGGAATTGTTAAAAATCCTTCTCTTATAGAAGCGGGTTGAATCTTCTTAGCAACTTCCTACAAAATCGTTGTGTTTAGAAACTAATTGAAATGATGAAAACGGGGTAGGTGGAGATCATATAGAACACAATAAATCAAAAACAAAAGGAAAGGAGGAAGGAACCGAAAACAGTAAGAAAAAGAAAAAACGGCTGAACAACGATGGCTATTGGGTACATATAAATGCTTTCCCATGATAAGTATATAGAATTAACATTACAAGGAAGATGCCGATCCCCCAAGCAAAGATAAACCAAAAATCTAGCCCACGAAAAATGTATCGGGTACAACTATTGCATGACAAATAACCAAATCAACATCAATATTCGTCCATGACAAGGAAAAATATATTGAACCACAAAACCAAGAAACAATACACATTAATTAAAGAACTGAGCAAAGTGTAAATTGTGGAAAATAATGTATATTATTTGTAGAAATCCCGTTTTAATATGGGAATATTATAATATCTTTTTTGTATGAAATAATTAGAGTTGATTTAGGAAATAATTTTTCCCTTCTTAGGTTAGAATATTCTTTCCTTTCTTCATCTATTGTACAGTAGTATAAATTGTAAGAATGTGTGGAATGGTTAATCAGAAGTATTATTCCATTATTTCCTATATGGTATCAGAGCCCAGAGCCCGGGTAAATTCAACCCACGCCATCAATGGCGGAAACAACTGCTGACAGCCAAAAATCAACAACCTTCGAATCCGGAACTAGCGAAACCGGATCCATTCCCATCATGACCTCAATTGGAGTTGATAATTCCTCCTTTCAACTCACGGTCGAGAAACTCAATGGTCAAAATTATAGAGAATGGGCTCAATCTATTAAGCTAATGGTCGAAGGGAAAGGAAGAATTGGGTATCTTACCAGCGAGACGAAACAGCCCGCAGACCTCGTTCTTCTCCAAAAGTGGAAGTTTGGAAATCCCATGGTTATGTCATGGCTCGTCAACTCATGGTATCGTCGATCAGCAAGATCTTCCTCTTCATGCCAACTGCGAAGGATAAATGGGACAGTGCTCGCGAGATGTACTCCGACATGGAGGACTCGTCACAGATTTTTGAAATCAAAACCAAACTTTGGAAGGCAAAGCAAGGGGAACGAAGTGTCACTGAATGCTATACGGAGATGTCATCATTATGGCAATAATTGGACCTTAGTGTGGATGAGCAGTGGGATTGCCACTATGTAAAAATTGAGCTTTCCCAACACATAAAAGGCAACATTTGGTAGTTAAGTATTGCTAAAGGGGTCTATCGCAACATTTTAATAAGTGAATATTGCTATTGGTTAATATAATTGAGTTTTGACAACATTTTATAAATAAACGTTGCAAAAGTGCCTTTCGCAATGTTTATCGAACGTTTATTAAAGTTTGATTTTTTGCAATGTTTATTAAAGTTTGATTTTTTGCAACGTTTAATAAACGTTGCAAAAAATCGAACTTTTCGCAACGTTGCTAAAAGTTTGATATTTCGCAACATTTAATAAATGTTGCAAAAAGTGCCTTTTGCAACGTTTAATAAACGTTGTGAAAAGTAAACGTTGCAAAATGTGCCTTTTGCAACGTTTAATAAACGTTGCGAAAAGTAAAGGGCTTAAGCGAATTCGGTTGGGCCAATTTTTTTACTCAAGGACCGGGCGCACCCCTTACTCTCTCTATATCTCATACTACACACCAAATCAAAGCCAAAACATCTCTCTTTGTTTTGTGCGTGTTCTTCTTGTTTTTTGTTCTCTCAAACCCTAGAAAATGTGGGTGTGCGTCGCTGACTTTTCCGATACGAGACTGAGTTTAACTGGTTTTTGCCGTTTCTCTGCAGGTTTTGCCATGAAAGGAGATACATCAACAAATTTGCAGCTACAAGAAGGACCCACAAAGTGAATCCATTTTTGTTTTCTTCCTTACTTTATTATTTCTTGATTTTATCATTCGACGCTCTCTCTCTCTCTCTCTCTCTCTCTCTCACATATGAAGCGCTGTGAAGAGGGTTGGCAACAATTCTTGAAAAAATGATCAAGGGTTTGTTTTTAATGGGATATTCATCTAATTCTTGAAGATTGATGGATCAAACAAATGGGATTTTCATCGTAAAGCTTGTTTCTTTTTGGGGTTTCGTCGAGATCCGTTTTCGTTACTCTTTTAATCCTATAGCCCCAAGTACAGCTACAGAGATGTCTTCTTAATTTAACGTTGTTATATACAAACAATTTAGCTCAATTTTATAAATTTTTGGAAATTATGCATTTTTTTGTTAGTTCTAATTGTTTCTGTGTGAGTGTTAATGGCTTATCTGTTGCTTTTGAACTTTATTTTGATAATTTTCATTTTTCTTTTTGGGTTTAGTACCTGAAACCTAGATTACAACTATACACTTTCAGATTACGAAAGAAAATTTCTTTAAAAACTGTCAGAGCATTTTTTTAGTCAGATTCTGTATCAAATTTTCGAAAAAAATGGATTATTGGTCATCGTCT